TTCCAAATTACTTCCTCCCAATAATAATAACTATAAGATCATCACACACAAATTATTGTTTGACAAGCTCTTTTAAATGCCCTAACCATGGTTCAATCAAATCAACAGTAATACAACCAGACCCTCTAAAACCAAAGCACACCTGTGAGGGTGTGTGTCTGTGTTTTAGCTATATCCTGGTGTCTAATACATCACACCATCACTCCCACACGCCAGAAAAGAGCATATTCTCTACTGTAAAAATCACTAATATTATTTAACATCATTAGGCTTTAGAAATCCCTTATAAATCTCAAACCTAGATAGGTTTCTTTTGTTGTTGTTTAATGAGTATTTATCAAACTAGTCTTGGAAGTAAAATTTGTATTGTTAAGTTACTATGGGGCTCCATCACACATAAATGAAATGGTGATTGCAAATTACATTAAATCCTGACTCTTCACAGCAAAAATTTCCATCCAGGTAGAGAATTTGCTGGTGCCAGAAAAAAAGTTGAAGATAACTTACCAGACTTAACAGCCTGTCTTAACACTCCAAGTCTGCACAATAATACTCTATAAATGGGGTGTGTGTTCAGGAGAGCACATATGCTTTGTGTTTTAATGGAATGGTGCCTTTAGTAATCATTTCTTAGATGTAGGGGCTTGTCCAGTAACAAATGATCATATTACACTTGAGACTGAGACAAAAGTTAAATTCTTCTCTAGTTGTAACCTTAAACACACATACCTTTTCAGGTTCAGCAGTAGGTTGGCAGAATTGACTGTAGTATAGCCAATTACTATTATTTCCTTTGTACGAAATTTGTATTTCCACGTAGGTTAAAAATTTTTCTGGGCACTTGGAGACACAGATCTATGAAGAATAGGAAAATAATGATGGCAACTGAAATGAGAATAAATCAGGAAGTATCCATAAGGTGAGACTTGTGAATTGTCCACCAGAATAAAGAGCAAAGCACTGTTTTCTATCAGAAGGATGTAAACCAATTTCTAGTCTTATTGTAAAAAAAATTAAATTCCAAATACAGAGTTATCAAACTCTACTCCTTCCTTTCCAATGTTGATGCTGTGTTAAAACAATCAGGTACTATACAGTGATGAGCTTATTGTTAGCTTTTGATTTTAAGATAAATATAAATTCATAGGTAGTTTTAATAAATAGATTCCACATCTCTTTACTTGTTTCCCCTGCAATGGTAAGAGTTTACATACTTATAACAAAAATATCACAATGAAGAAATTTAAATGTTACAGTCCACTAAACTTATTTAGATTGCACTAGTTTTATATTCACTAATTTGTGTGTGTCTGCATGGAGATGTAGTTCTGTAAAATTTATCACATGTGTATATTTATGTGACCATTACCATAGGATGATGAGGGCCTTTTTTTTTTTTTCAATACTAGGATACAACTCAGGGGTGCTCTCCCATGGAGCTACATTCCCAAGCCTTTAAAGAATTTTTTTGAGATAGGATTTTGCTAAATTTCAGAGGTTGGCCTCAAACTTGCAATCCTCCAACTTTAGATTTTTAAATTACTGGGATTACAGGAATGTACCACTTTATGCCTAGAAATGATGGATTTTTAAATAAAACTTTAAAAATTATTTTATGAATTAGAGCTAAGAGTATAAATCAAGATTAATTTTGCCTGTATACTTTATTCATATGCAGAGTTAGAATCTTATGTCCTTTTCTAAATATGAATAAGATGGTAGTTTAAAATGTTCTGAATGTC